AAGCTGTGCTTTTTATTGTCGATGATTATTGTAGCAACTGGGCTAAGGTATTGTGATTGATCTAATCAGTTGTCCTCCTTGGTATACTGAAAATGAGATTGCCTGAGTCATTAGAGACTCAAAACCTAAAAAGACCAGCTATACCTGGAAGATACCTCTGAGAAGCAATCATTCTATAAAGGCTCTAATATTGAAGTATCAGCCCAGGAATTAAACCAAAAAATAGCACCACCAACAAAATTAGAAATGAGAAGACATTAAGCAAGGCACAAACCCAGACTTCCAGCTAACCAAAGACAATTCTAGGCAAAACGAGGTGGAAAAATCTTATAATCAACTACCTGAACTGATAGCACAGGAAGAAACAAAACAGATGAATGAGGCTCTAGAAAAATTCAAAACAGGACTAATTTCCCAGATAACTACAGAGATGGTGAGCAGAATGGAAGACATGATTAGAGACTCTAGAACAGAAACAGATTAAAAAAAAAAAAAAAAAAGATGAGCTCAGGACCATGATGGAAGCCTTCTGAATGCCCAGCATAGGAAAGAAATGGAAACTATGAATGCCCAATATAGGAAAGAAATAGAATCCATGAAACAGATTCAGATATCCAGATTATAAACTCCATTGAAAGTATTCACAGCAGATTGAGCAAATGCGAAGATAGAACATTACATATAGATGACATATAGATAAGTGAGGCATATAGAACTCTAACTAGCCATGATTTAAAAAAATCTATACCTAGATATATAATAGTCAAGATCCCAGAAACCCAACAGAAGAACAAAAGCCTACAAGCAGTTAGAGAAAATAAACAAATCACATACAAAGGAAAGCCCATTAGAATCACAGTGGACTTTTCAACACAAACCCTCAAGTCAAGGAGAGCCTTGAGTGAAGTATTTCAAGTCCTAAAAGAAAATAACCTTCAACCTAGATTGTTGTATCCTGCAAAATTATCTTTCAAAATCAACAGAGAAATTAGATACTTCCACAACAAAGAACACCTGAGACAATTTCATGAATACCAAACCAGCATTCCACACAATTCTAAACAATATCCTAGAAAAAGACAATGAGGGTCACAACTCCACAAGGATCAACAGAGTGAAACCAACAGGCAAGGCAAGAAATTAAAAACTAAAATTAAAATTCCATTAGACTCAGATAAACCCCTTCTAGATATCTCCCCAAAAGAGTTAAAGACATACTACGATAATACACACCCCTATTTATAGCAGCACAAATCATAACAGCTATAGAAGCAGCCCAAATGTCTATCAACAGATGAATGGATAAAGAAAATGTGGCATTTATACAAGGAGTACTACTACTCTGCCATAAAGGATAAACCTGAGTCATTTGCAGGAAAATGGGTACACCTTGAGATCGCAGTGTCAAGTGAAGTAAATCAGACACACAAGCCTAAATATTGCATGGTTTCTCTTATATGAGAAACCCAATATATGAATAAAGTGCAAAATGGAAGACAGATAATAGGAAAAAAGAGAGAGAAAATTTATTGTAATCCAGCATGGCCAATGTATCTAAAAGTGTACACTGATTTAGTGTAAGTGTTTTATGTATTTTATTTGTTTTTTGGTATGTTAGTCTGGCTATTCATCTGTTTATGATAATTAACTTGATAAAGATTTAAAAGTAGGGCCAGGTGTAAGACTTAAAGTCTCACTTTTAATCTGTGAAGCGTGAACAGCCAAAAGGCCTCCAAGATGCTGAGCCCTAAAGCCCGGCGAGGCTCCAGGAGCTTGTCAGACAGTGAGAATCGCCCAGGAAGGAACACACCAGGCTGGTTGGCAAACAGACCTTTATTAGTCTGGCCAGATGGCACTCCTGGAGCCAAGTAGCTCAGAGAGGCAACTGCTCAGAGTCAGAGGCTATTTTATATAGGGCTATGGGGGGAGTTAACACTCGAAACTTACAGGAAGGGGACAAAGGCAAGTGGTCAGTTGATCCGAGCTGGTGGTCATCAATCATGTACTCAACCATTACGTACTAATGGTCAGCAGATCGATTATCCATTGTTTTATAGATTGTGGTGTTCAGAACATTCAGTTACAGGCAAACAAGGAGTGGAGTGATTTACTTTGGGTCTCTGTGTTTGTTACAATTCTTCTGTAGTTTCCCAGCTACTCCCAAGCAGTTACCTAGTAATTCACAATTAATCATTACTTAATTACTTATCCTATAAAGCGGGGGGGACAACAGTCTCTGGGTCTTTTGCTGGTCAACATGGGGTCACTCTAGTTCAGTAAGGCTCTTACACCAGGGATTTAGCTCAGTGGTTCCACCACCTGCCTTGTAAGTGCAAGGACCTGAGTTTGATCCCCAGTACAAAAAGAAAAAAGATTTCAAAATATATATATCAGATACCGGCCATAACAATTGTTAAAAATAACTTTAAATAAACAGGGGTGGAGCTGGGTGTGGTGGCACATACCTGTAATCCCAGCACTTAGGAGGCTGAGTCAGGAGGATCTTGTGAGTTCAAGACCAGCCTGGGGCTACATAGTGAATTCCAGGTCAGTCTCTACTACATAGTGAGACCCTGTCTCAAAAAAAAAAAACCCCAAAAAATAATAATAAATATAAAATAAAATATACGGGGGTGGAGGGGAAGGAGAAATCAAAGGAATTGATATGTGTTATATATGTGTACCAATTCCCCACAATGAATGTAATCATTATGTACTGCAAACTTGTACTGATCAGAAAATTTTGATTAAAAAAAATACACAAAAACTCAACAAAATTAGAAAATTCAATCTAGTAAATGAAATACATAAATTTTATATGAAATATATATGACTTACATCATAAGTGATTGAAGATTAATATTTTCCCTCAAAAATCAAGAATATGTCAAGGAGGTTCATGCCTGTAATCCCAGTATTCTTGAAAGATGAAGCAAAAATATCATAAATTCAAGTCCAGCTTCAGCAATTTAATAACTTAGCAAGAACTTATCTTAAAAATTTTTTAAAGATGGTGGATGTAGCTCATTGTAAAGGCAGTAGATTCAGTTCCAGTAGCACCACCACCAAAAAAAAAAAAGAGTAAGACAAGAATGTCCACAGTCCACTGCTACTTCTATTTGACATTGTACTACAGGGTCCACCAGTTGAACAAGAAAAAGAAATTAAAAGCATCTAGACTAGAAAGGAAGAAATAAAAATATCTCTATTTGCAGATGATATATATCAAAAAAAATTAAAGAAACCCACTAAAATACTTAGAACTAATAAGCAAGTTTAGCAAAGGTTCAGGATACAAGATAAATATACACAAATCAGGCAAGGATCACCATTAACCACTAAGATCAGAGAAGAGATACCCATAAATGATGGGCCTCGTGACTACACAACATCTACACAACATCGGCTATAAAATTTCCTTGCCAATTGTAGTAGTTTGTGTCTAGATGTCCCCCCAAAGTCATAGGCGGGGCTTTTACAGAGGTGGCTAAATCTATAGTGTGTGGTGCTGGGATTAAGGGTGTGTGATTACTAAATGAGCCAGTACATTGATTGGTTTGGCACTGCTCTAACCCCAGTGGCTTGGATAAAACATGAGACAAAAAGAGGCTCGTCTTCTCCACTGCTTGCTGCTTTTGCTGTCTTCTGCCTGCAGTGAACTATTTCTCCTCTGTGATTACCCCTCTGCCATGTGCCGCTCTGCCTTGGAGCCAGCCAGATAGGGACTGAAACCTCTACAAACTGTGAGCCAAACAAACCTTTCCCTTTAACTTTGGATATCAGGCATTTTGTCTCAGCAATGAGAGAAATGTAACTAAGATACCAATAAAACCTGAATCAGCTCAAGCTTCCAGGTCTAAGAAACAGTTTGTGAAAAAATAAAGAGAATCAAGAAACCTGTTGACACCACGGGGATGCAACTAGGAAAATAGAGAGTATGGGAAAATACAAACAATTCATTCAACAAATAAAATCTAAGAGAAAGAACAGAGTAAAAGGTAGGTGGGTTTGGTAGTGCACTCCTGTAATCCCAGCACTCTGGAGGCTGAGGCAGGAGACTTGTCATGAGTTCAAGGACAGCCTGGGCTACATAGTGAGATCAAGGCCAGCCTGAACAATACAGCAAGACCGTCTCAAATACCTGCCCCCCAAAAAAAGTGAAAGGGAAAGCTATAAATTCAAAGATACATTTGAACATATCAACCAAAAGCAAGTCATAGACCTTCTTTGTATTCTAATTTCAATGTCTCAAAGGTTAAAGAAAAAAAAAAGGTAAGAGGGAAATTTGAATCTACTTAGATACTAGATAATATAAAGCTATTCTTATATAAAATGATTTTCTGGTTATTTTTGATACTTTGAATACAAGAAAGAGTCTTGCACAGGCCATGGAAGCAGTATGAGGCCACTTAAGCAGAAAGTTCTATGATTAGTGGTACCAGGTCCAAAATCCAAAAAAGGAGGGAATGCAGACTCCACGGAGGCATATGTGCCCTTGGCCCTGCAGTCTGCTCTCCCTGTGAACAGCAGCATGTTGCAGAATGGGACCGGTGCAGCTCTTTTACAGTATATGTTTACAGCCACAGCCTTTCTTTACCATATCACAGGTACTATGGACGTGAGAGTTTCATTGTATCAGTCTCTTTATATTCATGCAACTTTGAGATTTTACTATACTAAAAGTGGCATTTGTTTGTTTTGGTGCAAGGATTAAGCCCAGGGCCTTTCAAACTAGAATACATCCCCAGCACTTTTTTTTTTTTGAGACAGTGTCTATGTAGTTGAGACTGACCTGGAACTCACTATGTAGCCCAGGTTGGTCTCGAACTCACAGTGATCCTCCTGCCTCAGCCTCCTGAGTGCTGGGATTATAGGCATGTGCCACCACACTCAACTCCCAGCCCTTTTTTATTTTTCCATTTTAAAACAGGGTCTCATTAAGTCACCAAGTTGCCCAGGCTGGGCTCAAATTTATGATCCTCCTGTCTCAGCCTCCCAGAGTGCTGGGATTATAGGCATGTGCCACCACACCTGGTTTAAAAGTTTAAGACTAAAACACTGCGGGAAAAACAGTCTTCCAAAAACTAAATTGGAGGGCTTCTAAATTCTTCTGGAATTATGAATCTATGAGCATCAATGAAACTTCCCCAAAAACTCAATTTCTTAGAACTAGAGTGCCAAGCACTTCCAGATCAATGAGTCCAGTACCATACACACAAGGACACAATGAATATTATTTAATAATTATGCAGATTCCATCTCCTAAAGAAAGGAAATAACAGAAAAATCTAGAAATACCATGGAGACTACCATAGGCCAAATTTAGCTTCGTACAACTGAAAACCTTTCAGAGCTTCGGAGAAGAGATAAAACAGATGCTAAGAAACATTTCTTCCCACCTCCCAAAAACACAAAGTATCTTTTGATTGAGAAGTGGTTGTGTTTAATCATTAAAATTATTTTGACCCTAATGGAAGAGAAGTCACTTAAACTGAGAAAGAGTGGAGCTTTTTCTCCCTCACTTATTTTAGAGGTTAGTAAAAAACAGAATAAAAAAAGCTGAACCTCTAAATTTAGGTCCTAATGGAGACTTGGGAGGGGCAGAAGTAACCTATGTTTTCTGCCTTATGTCAAAGGTCATTGTCCCTGGGATGCCAAGCATACTGCTCTGGTGAAGGCTGCCCCAGGTGACACCTTCAGTCTGTGTCCGAAGAATTCTCACTCTCTGCCCTACTGGACTGGTTCTCCTCCTCCTCAATATCAGTGGCCTGAAGAATCCTCAGTAGTTTGAGCTCAGGCTTCCAGCTTATTTTAGTCACTCTTTCTGAAAGGTCTCCAAGGATCTTCTCTTGGTCGGCAATTGAGGCTTCCAGTACTGTCTCCACTGAGGCACTACATCCTTGCAAGGGAGGTCCGTCTTAGACATTTTAGAATCTAAAAGAAAACCCAACCATTAATTTCATCTGTAGGCTTCTCCCAAATAACTGTGACAAGTACAGAAAAGTAAAGAGTACAGAAAAGGAAAGGTTGGGCTATCTTCAGGACCTCTGTGAAGGACGAGGACTGTGTCCACCAAGAGGAAGCCAGCCTGGTTAACACAGGTTCAGTACTAAGGGTCCTCACCCTAATAACTTACTTTTCATATCAGGGGAGAAATCCAGGGACTTGTCAAAGTGGCCCTTTCTTGATCTCTCTATGGAAACCTAAGTATAAGAAAAAATGAATCAAGACCTTAGAAAATTAAAAGCATTTTTTCCTAAAAAATGCTTCTTGGAGAAATCAACATCTCTTTTATCACACATTTTCTTCCCTCCAGACTGTCCAGATGAAGCCAGAACTAATTTTTACCCACTCTCAGCGGTCAACTAAGGGCAGATCACATTTACAGATGGCTGCCAAAAACCCCTCCCCTTCCTGGATGTGCACGCAGTTGCTCCCACCAAGAGATATGGTCTCTCTCCACCTCTGAGAACTGGAGCTACAGCTGGGGCTTGTTTGATCAGTAAAAGGTGACACTGTTTTAGCCTCTTGGGTTGACTGTCAAAAGGCTCCAATAAACCACATGGAGTGGCCTTATGGAAGGGAACCTAGGCAATGAGGCCAACAGCCCTGCCCAGCTGCAAAATGACCTCAAGCAAGGCCAGGACGACTGTCTCACTGACCCACAGACTCACTAGCAATAATGAATCACTATGACTTGAGCTTTGGGGTGGTTTGTCACACGGTAAGAGATAGTGCAACTAGGCCTTGGCAGAAGCCCTGCCACTCACCTGTTTCAGGGTGACTCCTTCTGTATTCATCTGCTGCTGGTGCTGCTGGGTGCCACTTTCCTGACCAGAAAGAGTGCTGTGACCTAGAGACCACAAAGTCAGGTCAGACCTCTTCTTTTTGGCATTTCATATCTCAGTAGTAGGAGGCCTTTGTTTTCTTAACGGACACATAAGAAGTGTACCTATTTATGAGATACCATTCAATCTTTCAGTATGTGTATACATTGTAAAGGCCTTCTGAGTTGTGTGATCTTGGTCACCTGGGGCTGTAACTACATACACTGTAAAATTAGATATGAAAATAAGGTGTGTACTATGAGATCCAGGATTCCCTCACATAAGAAGTAACTGCATAAAACCACAGAAAGAGAAATAACTCTACTCTTCAGATTATGAATACTCTTACCAGAGTGTGACTCACTTTCTTCTGCCATTCCTAACATGGTTCTAAAAATACGAAAATAAAACTGTTCTAATTTTCTGTTTCTTTTGCATCAGCTGTTTCTCTAACAAGTCCCTAGATACATTTGCCCTTTCCTTTTTGAATCTCCCCTTCTCTAAATAAACATCTTCCAAGCTGTCACCAGAGGTATTATGCTAAAAGATAATAACTCTGTTGGCTGCCTACCAGCTAAGGTTCTTACCTCAGCTGCATTCTGGGAGCACTGGAGAGCTTTAAAACACAATATAAGACTAGACATGGTGATGCGCACCTGTCATCCCAACACTCAGGAGGATCACCATGAGTACAAGGCCAGCTGATTACAGAGTGAGTTTAAGGCCAGCATGAAATACATAGCAAGACCCTGTCTTAAAAGGTTAAAAAAAATACAGTGGGAATTGGTTCCAAACACAAGAAATTCTGACCTAATAGGTCGGGGGTACAACCTAGCTTGTTAAGAGTTTGAAAAACTTCTCAGTCTGTCAGTGTGCAGCCAAGATGGAATGAGACTGATTTGGAGACTCAAGCCCAGTGGCCTTCACAGTGTCCATAAGCCCCTATCCACTTCTTTGGCCCAGTCTACCACTCTCCTTTAAATAGCAGAAGCCACACTGAAATGCTCAATGTCTTCCAAGCAGCCATGCTCCTCCAAGATGCCTTTGTACAGGATACTGCCATCTCTGGGAATTCTCCATACCGGAAAAAATTCCCACATATTTAAGATCCAATTTAAAAATCACCTTTTCTGTAAAGCCTTTCTCACTTAGTGAGGACAGGCAACTGCTCTAAGGATATGGATCCAAGGTGACCCCAGTGATGCACACAAAACAGCTCCTACTGGAGGCATCAGGAAAAGGAAGAAGAATGGAGGTCAGGGGAGTGGTAGTGATGAACCTGGATGGAGTGCTAACCGTGCATAAGTCATCTCCTATGCTGGGCCTCAGCCCCGATTCTGCTGCCTGCTGTGTGAAGGACAGAATCCCCGGGGATACAGCTCAGAGCAAAAGCCCTGGGCTCAATGCAATAAAAATACTAATTCATTCATTCATTCATTCATTCAGAGTGCCTGACAAAGCCAAGACTCAAAATGGAAAAGGTATATTTCACTTTTCTTGCTGCCACCTATACCCTGGGATTCTATTATTCAACCAAGCACATACAGTATTGTCCTTACCACAGAGAGGGTTATAAGCAACAGCAACTGAATGTTCATATGGAGTGTTCTGGATCCTCAGATCATTCTTGGCTTTCTCTTTAGTCTCCTGAAATCCAGAAGAGGAGGAACTGAGTTGGGACTTTTGGAAGTGAACAACATTTTTGCAAAAGGAGAGGAAAAGAAGGAACTTAACTTCTATAACCAAACAGAGACCAAAGAGAAGCCCACCTCTCAGGCGTTCTTTCCTAGTCAGGCTGCACCCATTTCTCCCAGCCTGGCAAGTCCCAGGGCTCCCTTGCAGCACTCTACCTGTTCCTGAGTAGGGGTTTTCTCCTTACTCCTCTGTGGCTGCTGCTTCCTGTGACCTGGTGACCAGAAGGCCAGGTTGATCCTCTTCCCACTGACAGCCCCCCACCCGCTCTGGGCTTCCTGTTGAGACCTGCCCCACTACAGTGACTCTCCCTCCAAGGTCAGGACCAAGCCAGGTGGCTGCTTCCTGAAATTAGTTTTCTGCATTCTAAAGGTGACCCCAAATGACTGTGGCTACCAACAACAGAATCGGGACCAAGTTAAAGTAAGAGTAACATGGGTGGCTGGAAATCCAGCAGCAGCAGCAAAGCTACCTTCTCTCTTCAGGCTATGATGTAATTTCTTCAGATGTTCGGGATATCGCAACGCTGGTCTCTAGAGAAAAAAAAAAGGGGGGACGAGGGTGGAAAGGAAAGAGGAAGTGGGAAGAGAAAGAAAAAGAAAAGGACGAGGAAGAAGGGGAGAAGGAAGTGGAAGAGGAGAAAGAAGAAGAAAAAGAGATGGACAAGAAGAAAGAGAAGGAGAAGAAGGAGAAAGAGAAAAGAAGCTCTTCTGTGGGGTCTTTCCCCTTCCCCAGATGCACTTATTCAGTCAGCAAGCACACTGGGAAGCCAGTGTTTTGCAGCAGTATGCAGGAAAGAAAAGGTGTGGGAAGCACAGTGCAGAAGAAATGCAGTCACCACTCTGCTCACACTCTTCCCCCACACTGGCTTTCACCTACACATAGCCAAGGCTTCTGTGGGGCGGGGGCCAGAGTTGTGGGATAGAAGAGAAAACCAACTCTTCAAACATTGAGAAGAAAAGGGATTCCTGGGTTTTCATGCAGGCTTTTTCCTCCAAAACACCCTGGCTCTTACCTGCAGGGTGAGGCGGTGTACAGTTAGAAACATCTTAGAAGAAATCGCACTGTCATGTCGGTTCTTTTCCAGGGGAAGACTCTTCTTCATCTTGTCCAATTGTATTTTCATCTCTGCACAAGGGATGTTTTTTTCTCCATGTGGCAAAAGCCTGAAGGGGACAGAGACAGCCAGTCAGCAGCAGCTGTTCCTCAGAAGAAAAAGGGATGAGAGAGACTCCAAACCTGAAGACATTTCCGCTTTGGGTCTGGAATGGCCTCTGCCCAAAGGTACTCATTGCGGGGTACCCTTCAGATGCAGTTATGATAACCACGGCTGCACTTATTAAATGTTTATTCAGTTAGACTTTATACCACTGAATCCTTCCAACACCCTGAGGATAAGTATTATTATCCTCACTTTCCAAATGAAGGATATGAAGTTTAAAGAGGATAAATAATTACCAAAATTCACAAAGCAGTTAAATTTCAATACAAAATTCAAACTTCAAATCACATATACCAATCTGCCTCCCATTTATCTATAAAAGAATAGTGCCTACCTGCTGGCAGGAGTTTAAATGAGAGACCATGTAATGTGCTTAGCCAAGAGCCTGCCAGATGGTAAGTACTGGGTAAATGGCCATGGTAATTACTGTCATCCCTGCCTGTTGATAAGTCTAAGAATTCAGTAAGCAACTAAAGTGACAGTTTGCACCACCCTACTCAGAAAGAGCACATTGCTTGCCCCATCTCAGTTTCCGGGCAAAGCAGGGGCCCGATTTCTCCCCTGAGAATCCATGATACTCACTCCTTCAGCAGATCCTGAGGTAGAGCATTGTCTTGGGTCCTGAGAGGTATTTCTGAACTTAACTGCTCAGACGCATGTACTACTGGGGAGGAGGGAGGCACAACCACCTTTGAGGTTCTCGGCCCTATGTCTGTGAACTGTCTTTCAGGGGGACCCAGAGATGACTTCATTTTCTGAAAGAGAAAAAAATGCAACAAACTCTCCCAAGTAATCTCTTTGAGATCATTTCTTCCCATTAACATTCCAGCCTCCCAACACAATCCTGATTTGTACAACTCCTTGTTTCCAGAGCCAGTCCGTTATTCCCACCTTCCCTCTACATGACTGCCTCCCACAGGATCCCAGCCCTATTGTATTTAGATCTTACAGGAATTAACTGTGGTTTTGTTTGTACTGTTTTCCCAGAGAGGTCATTCATTATTCACTCAATCTATCTATATGCTGAGCACAGAGCTAGGGATGGGGATTTCACAATGAATGAACTGGATCAAGACACTACTCTCGTGGACCTAACACTCAGCTTTGAGATTTATCCAAAATCACATTTACACATAAATGGTTGAATGAGAGTTGGAAGCTCAGGTTTGTTGTAGTTTTTTGTGGTGGTGGTTGTTCCTCTTCTCTCCTCCTTCTCCCTCTTCCTCTTCTTCCTCCTCTTATTCCTCGTGTGTGTGTGTGTGTGTGTGTGTGTGTGTGTGTGTGTGTGTGTGTCCTAGAATATGCTCTAATGCTTAGCTACATTCCCAGCCCTTTTCTTTTTCTTTTGAGACAGGGTCTCACATTGTAGTTCAGGCTGGCCTTGAACTATGTAGCCCATGCTGGCCTCGAACTCACCGTGATTCTCCTTCCTCAGCCTGAGTGCTGGGATTATAGGTATGTGCCACCATACCTGGCTTCCTTTTAATTTTATTTCGAGGCAGAGTCTCACCAAATTGCCCAGGCTGGTCTTGAATTTGTAATCCTCTTTCTACTCACTGAATAGCTGAGATTATAAGCACACACCATGATGCCCACCTGGGGATTAGTTTTTAACTAACCAAAAAGTCCCCTGGATACCAGGAGTTCCTCCTGTCATCTCTTTAAGGTGCTCTTCTCCTCCCTACATGGTACAGATAGATGAAGGAATCTGAAGAGGCTTATAATTATCCCTATGAAAGGGTTTTCATTTAGAGAAAGGAATGGGTTGAGAGTTGGAAGACCTCAAAGGAAAACAAAAATATACCCGACAGAGTAATAATAAAGGTTTGAACAAACACTGAACTTACCTCTGATAATTCCTTTCTCTTCTTTTTCCCATATTGGCTGAGGAAAGGAGATGTCTTCTTAGGTAAGCTTAAAATAAGAATAACCACAACTTATTCCCAGATATCTTAAACAAAAACAGCAAGGATATATGTGAATAATGACCATGAAGACTTCTATCTCTCTACTTAGTATTCAAAGATGGCTGCTTGGGAGCCTAGCAGTAAGTGCCGCCCAGGTACGTGCTGCTAAAAGACCCCTCACCTCCCATGTAAATATGGTTCCCCAATATTCTTAGGGATAATTTAGTAATTTACTTTCACGGTGTGAATATAAATTAGTAATTATACACTTAGGTGTGGTTATGTTTGTCACGTCTGACTCTTCCTTACAACTCTTAGAGGACAGAGACAAATCTCCTTGGTTTTCCCCTGAATCCTCACCACTTAGCACAGAGGAGTACTTTTTGCTCTGTTCTCTTCTCCTCCTTCTCACTTGGGAAGTGGATATGAAAGTTGGAGCTCTGGCAGCCAAGCTAGACCTTAAAAGTACCAGGGAAGTACACTAGAGGGTGGAAGCTAAGAAGACGTCCCAGAAAGGTGGAAAGAGTTTGGGTCTCTGATTATCTCACAGAACCAATGTACTAGTCCTGGCCCAGCCACTCTAGAGCTGCTTTTACATGGAAGGAAATAAAAAGTCATCTGGGTTTTCTTGTTAATACTGTATGTACACATGCGGAAATGCACTCACAGGATCATTTGTTGAAAAAGAAAAAGGAAATCAAGAGGTTACATCAACAAGATGGCCAACCAAAAAGACATTAAATTACTTAACCAGAATCCGAAAGCCTCCATTATCACCAAAGAGAAACCAAACTCTTTCCCATGGTTTTCTACACTAGCAAGCCTTTGGGCCTTCACCAAATGATCTTTGTCATGCCCTGCTTTGTACACAAAGTCCTTTATGCTATTCACTATATACCACTGCCAGAGGCTGTGGCAATCAGAGGTTCATATGCTTTACTGGGAGCTCTATCACTTGTTACTGAGGGTTAATAAGGAAAACCAATGGAGAAAGTATAATTTTTAATCAAGCTTCACAAATAAATTCGTCATGTCTTACATGCTATTTATTGCCATGTGGAATTTGATATAGAGAAGTTCCATAGCATGAATCTCAAAGTGTACTAAGATAGAATTCCAAAATCGGCATCGTGGTGCATGGATGGAGACCTAGCACTCAGGAGGATAAAGCAGGAGGACTCCAAGTATGAGGCCAGCCTACAGTACATGAACAGTTCAAGGCCAGCCTAGACTATATGGCAAGACCAAAAAATCAAAAGGAAAGCATGATGACACATTCCTGTAACCCCAGCACTCAGGAGGCTGAGTTCAAGGCCAGCCAGGGCTATATAGTGAGACCCTGCCTCAGCAAAACAAAGACAAAAAAATAAATAAATGAAAAGAATTCCAGTGTAGTAAGAGGGAGAAACAAGAGACTAGGACTGGGGATTTAGCTCAGTGGTTCTGCCGTCTGCTTTGCAAGGGCAAGGTCCCGGGTTCGATCCCCGGTACCACCAAA